TCACATAATATTTACTGGTTTGTTAACAAGAGTTTTGTCACATAATATTTACTGGTTTATTAACAACAGTTTTGTCACGTAATGTTTACTGGTTTGTTAACAAGAGTTTTGTCACATAATGTTTACTGGTTTGTTAAAAAGAGTTTTGTCACATAATGTTTACTGGTTTATTAACAACAGTTTTGTCACGTACTGTTTACTGGTTTGTTAACAAGAGTTTTGTCACGTAACATTTACTGGTTTGTTAGCAAGATTTTTCAATGTTAGTAGGGGTTTTCAAAACGATATATTTAAACGATAACGTTTTAATGATAGCAGGATATGATTATCTAAGCTTTTTGGGCTAATATGTTCTTTTCTACAAAAGTGACAAGTAATTTTATGGTTGTTAAAACAGAAGTGTGTCGCGTTACGCTTTCTGCTTTGATTTCACTGAGTTACTAACTCTGTTTTTTTTTTCTGCTTTACACTAGCTGACAGCTTATTTCAACTGAAGGGTACCATATCTGTATCTCTCAAGCCAATACCGTGCACTCACTACTAGTGAGGTCAATATTTATAACACATCACAGTCAGCTTTCAACAACTGTTAATAGGTTGCATTCATGACCTAGTGTACATGACGCCGCGAGCAAAATCGCCATCTTCCGCACATCTGGCAATAACAACTGGTACTTAAGAACAGGAACTCATACCCCAGAGCAGCCATGATACTATAAAATGTTCCAATCAATTGTATTTCTTTTCGMAGAATAATGCCTTCACATTATCAAAGAAACTCGGCATGGCCGTCAAAATATACCAACGCACGTGTTCATATAGGGAAACCTTTAGTGCAAATCGTTTTAATACATTTAAAGTTTGTAGGGTTTTGATTCCGTTTGGATTAGCCTTCAATGAATGGAATACCTACCTTAATATTATCGAAAATATATCCAAAAATATAGAAATATAATATCCAAAAAGAATAGAAAAATTATTGCCTTTCGAGAGTATATCTGACTCGCCGGAAAGAGAATGCAGGGAACCCAAACAGACGTTTTGTGATTTGTGAAGGAGAACTGGGCACTAGTGATGCAACCAGTACAAGCACTAGTAACTACTGGGAACAGCTGCTGACAAGTAGTAGTAAGTACTGGGTTACAACGTGAGAAACGGGTGATGTAAAATGGCCGGCGAAAGTAGTAATAAAGTACAAGAGATGACTGTTTTGTGATAATACCCGACTTCAGTAGCCCAGATCAGGGCATGGGACAATCACGAATTGTACCTAAATAACACGGGGTTTTGCGGCCTCATGGATAGCTAAAAAGATGTAGATTTGGTGGATTTATACGTATCGTTATTTGAGGAATCGATTCAGGGGTCGGCACCGATGGATCCATGAAGTGTTCGCAAGTTTCGAGCCACTAAAGTAAGACAGGTAACGCCATTTTAGCTTAAATTATAAGACATGTATAGGACTAAATCATCTTTCGAGTAATTTTGCGGCCTCTAGGATGAGTCTAAAGATGGAATTTTTATTTCAAAACATGGTATGGAAGTGACACTTTTTAAAAGATAAGAGGTCGGCACCCGAGGGCCGAAGCTTTTTATACATCGAAATCATAACTTAACTTTTTAGTCACATACATTTCTTTGCATTCTTGAGCGGCCATTTTTAAAGATCGATCTGGCTGAAATATAATCCCGTGACGTAAGATGTCCCTCATTGCTGCTAATGATCAATCATGTTATTAAGAAATGTTTCTGAAAATTTCATTACAATCTCTGCGATGAGTTTCGAGAAAATTAATTTAGAAGAAAAATGAAGGTGTTTTTATTTTGTATCGTTTATCCAAATGGCTTCGCTTTATGGATTATGGTGTTGGCTGGTGGATTGCCTTTTCGCTTGCCTGATTTGTTATGTCTCTGAGGAACTATAAATGAAAGAGAAAAAAAGATGTTAGTTAATGATGGTATTTTCCACACTTAAGTATTTTGTAGTGGTTTCGTGTCTTCTTTATAGAGTGCAAGTCAAATAAGCATGAAACAATTCTTAAYTATGTAGTGCTAAATAAGATTTAGTTATCAACTAAGAATTGAGAACAATGCTACAAAGGAATTTAAATAATTGGCATTGTGTTTATGCTTTGTTGAATTCTTAGTTAGTTGATAACTAATTCTTATTTAGCAATACATATTAAGAATTGTTTCATGCTTATGTGACGTGCACTCTAGATGTGTTTTTTAGTCTTTATCATATTTTTGACTTTGCTTTTTAATTGAAGGACACAAGAACAAAATATGAGGTCTGGAGCGTTGAGAATCTTTTTCATGTCACCCGCTTCTTCTTGCATCGTTGAATTTAAAAAGCAAAGAAAAATGCGATAAAACAAACCTAAAAAACGCTATAAAATAAAGAAAACGTCTTGGACCAGGGTACATTGATAATAGTAACAATTAAAGAAGAAAATAACAAAACAATGAAGTAAAGAAGCAAATAAGGCCCTTAAAAACTTGCATAAATACTTTTAGTGTCTGTTTCACGAGCTGGACTTATTACTTATATATTCTAACAATGATAATATATTTACAAAGTTTGTAATGTTATTCAAATAAATGGTCAATAAATGGTTATGCCATATCTGATATTCGTAGGTTGGTGGAAATTAATAGCGGAGCTCCCGCGCGGGCACCATAGCTAAGAAAAAATGGTATACCATCGAGTCGATTTACCATGGACCAACACAGGGTTCCCGCGCGTACGCACGTTTCCTTCCTTCCATCCCTGTACCACCACAGGAAACCCATACTCCGTTCGAAAAGGAAACAAAGCGCCAAGTATTTGTTGAAAAATCGAATTTTTTTCCTTAAACATGTATATTACATATTGCTAATATTAGAACAATTAATCACAAGGAAAAAATCCACTGAAGAGCGAAATAACAGCACAGAAATATTCCCGCCAATTTTGTCATAGCTTCGACGCGTCCGCACATCCGGGAAATTTATCGGAAGTTCGATAATGAAGGTAAAAAATATATTTTTGTATACAGTTTTCTGTTATATGTGAATTTCGATCGAGTAGTCCGGGTTCAAACATCGATTATTGAAACAATGTTTATTATTGTAAGCTTATGTAGACTACGTTTTGCGAGAAGCTTTCAGTTTACTTTTAATCAATTGACCTTTATAGATTATAATATTAAACTTCATCCAACGGAGCAAAATCTACCGAAGTCAATATTAGTACGGACTAAATTCTCATAAACATACTCTTTATCATATTTGTTCGCATGTCAACAAAACTGTTGTAGATCACATTCCTTAGAACAGAGCATCTACCTTTGAAATAGCAGTATTAGATAATCTTTTTCAGCTATTATATTGGAGCTCCGGCATTAGGTGTTATCTAATTTTTATATTAGTTTCTATGGACATACTTACCTCACAAAGGATATTCTTTTGCGATTCTAAATGTGTGACAAAAGCGATGGCGTTCTGTAGAGTGCCTTTACTGATGGATAGATGTGGTGTAGTTATGGGTAGTGTTAATCCGTAAATTAAGTGTTCCATCATGTGGTTCATAACGTGAAGGGCAGTAGCCACTCTTGGAATGATTTCTGGTGCTTTGGATCTAGGAGGCTTAGGCTTCGTTGACTTCATTCACAAATTGGTTCATACAGTCGCGGAGAAGGGCGTTGGCATCATCATTAAAAGCATACGTCATGTTGTAGTCGATGTTATCTACGGCTTGAAAGTACTGAAGGAAGGAATCAATAGGCTCTGTTTTAATGTATTCATTGGCCTGTTCAATCTCTGTCAGTGTTGGACGTAAAGCCAATGGTGTTGTGACGAGGAAGCGGTCCACAAGTCCATGTCCGTGGTCCATCCTGGCAATAATATTTGCTGCATTCCTTAGTTGCATTGATCCAAGTATGGCGAAAGGAGTGTTTTCGTCTATTTCTCTTGTTTGTTCAGTGGAGTAAACATGAGCTGATTTTTCACCAGAGAACAGTTTGCAGAGGAATTGTATGTCTCCTATCGCTTTTTCTTCGTCAGACTTTAGGAGTTTGTTGAGACAGTTTTGTTGTTGGCTATCTTTTGAACAATGCCAGATGATGTGGAGGTGCTGATAACCGATGTGGCAAGGTTTAGGCTGTCGAGTGGCTCGCTTGCACAGTGCTGTATGGCGGACGATTTTCCTAGGGAGGGAGAACAATGAAGAATGTTAAGGCAAAGCATTTGGATTTATAGTAAAATAAAGAGTCATCACATGTACCTGTGCCAGGATACCCAATGAAAAGGGTGTAGAGGTTGAGAGGCTGTTTGTGTGTCATAGTTTCCACTTGAGTTCCTTTGGTTGCCAGAACATAGGCTGTAGTCGTGAGAAGTGTGGGCACAAAATACCCTTCACAGCTACCAACGGACACGGCTTTGTTTTTGATGAAATTATACATTTCATCAGTTTTGAAAAGGACTTTGTATTCAAATTGAACTGAGTTCAGTCTTTGTTGAAGGCTGACCCATGTTTGGTCATGTTGTTTGCTGAGTTTCGATATCACATACATGTTGTAGTGTAGAGAGCTTGCGATAGACATGGTTCGCACAGGCCTGGAAAAGTCCTTGAAAATGCTTTGAGTCCTTGAAAACTCCTTGAATTTAAAGATTTAGCAAAATGTCCTTGAAAAGTCCTGGATTTTGCTCTTTAAGTCCTTGAATATTTCCAGTTTTACCTTGAAAATCAGTTCCTTATAGAAATGTTTTTATTGACATTCAAAAATGTATAAAAATGTTGCTTTTTGCCGTTTTGTATTATATTCTTAGATAAGAGCGTGTGTTTGTACTT